ATGTATAATGGAAAAAAAAATAAGAAATATGGTTAACACGAATCAATTATAACAGAAACCAACCTATAACCGTCACGGACTTTTACAAATGATTTTTCCGATCTTTAACTTAAAATTCTAATTCTAAGTAAATATCAAAATTCTACATTAAACCTCGCGATCAAGAAACAAAAATAATATTACACGCTAAAGCTACTTTATTTACATGAAGGCAGAAATCTCACGCTTCTAAAACTAGGTAAGTGGCACTAAAAGTGGCGCCCGCGCATGGTCTATGCTACGTTTAACTCCATATATGGCAGCGCATTATGTCCAAACACTATAATCACTGGTAAGTGGTAAGACTGACAAGTCAAAGCTATGTTTGATTTAATTAAAAATTCCATAATGAAATACATAAGCACATATTATTAGTACATACGTGTACATATATTTTCCACTAGTTCTATACGAAACTGGGTTAATATTTTTTATGCACCGTGCACTGAAACTAAATGAAGAAGTCATATTCACAATTAGTTGAGAAATATGTACAGTCCTAAAAATAATGAAGACGTTTCCAATTCAAAAATATAGCCCTATTACGTCTCATTCCCAAAAAAATCCGATTAAAAACTAAGTTCACATAACAAAAATATAACAAGAATCCGCCATTAATGTCTATATTAAAACGTAAATAATGAATGTAAGTGGCTAAATAAGTAGGTATCCAAAAGTGTGCGGTGCGTGGGGCAGGCATGACGCGATCGATACACTGAGCGACAATAAAACTAATATTACGAGCGCCTGAGTCGCTAATCAAACGACTCACGCGCAGTTCGATGATCCATTCCACTCTAGTTTGTTGCACTCGCGTGTTTTCTAAGATGTTTCTTGAGAGAATAGAAATTTATTGCAGCAATGTCTCATCATATAATTCATGCATTTCTGTATGGCCAGTAGCGGCTTATACAGTTGACGTCGTCGTTAAAAGGCAGGAATCATTTTCTTTATGCCAATTCACTTGAATTTTTTTCTTGGACTTTAAAGAAACATTTTCTAACGACAAAACATTAAAAAGCTACTACCAATGGAGGGTAAAATAAAATCGCTCATTAATTAAAACGCCTAGCAGCGAAGATGTGGGTACGGAATCTATCGCTACCTATTTGAGTTCCCAAGTTTTGATAGAGGAGGTAATTAAGATTTAAGTGCTTACTTACGCTAAAATGCTGTTAAATGAAAGATGAAAACCTACGCGGCCATTTATTGCTTTCCAAGAATCATCTAATGACTATAATAAACCAATATCGATGTTCCTAGAGGAAGCTGCGGCCACCGCAAACCAATTGTTTAGACTAATCCATTGTGCGGATACCATAAAACAAATTTTTTTTTTAAGAGAAACGCATCAAATTAATCTCGAAAACATTATTTCTTAGAAATTTCATTTTATATGTAGAAATGGGGGTTAACAGTAATGCAGTCTTCTTGGAAGCTGCATACATTTGACACACATTCCACGGATAAGCCACCACTGCTTTATGTTTGAAACACCAAGAAGTTTTTTAGTTTTTATGGTGTTTTAACAGAATTCCTACGAATAGGCGTCGATCCTCCCAACCTTATAGAGACAGGTTATGGTACTGGATTTTTAAACTCATTTATGGTGATGACAAATTGATGAATGAATCCTTTACGAGGAGTGACATTCTTGACAATTTTGTTGTAGAAGTTGTGAGTTTTTAATGTGTTCGTAATTTAATTTGTAGCAAGATTACCTAGTGGCATATGTTTAACACACATTCCACGACCAGCAAGCTACAGCTCGCTCTAAAGTATAGGGATAATGTTATGATTAGTGTACCGTTAAACCACTCTGCCTCAAGTGTTAGCCTTAAAAGAACACAGTCCCCGACACTAATTACAATGATTTAGATAACTTTACACGCCATTTAAGTGCAGCTTAGAACCCAGCCTTTATACTGACAGGATAAACCTGATTATTGAATAATCCTATTAATATCGGGCGACAATTTGATACATTGGAGGGTATTAATAAAATTGCGACACTTCGACATTTGCATTAGAAATAGATTTTCTGCTGCGGAAGCCGATAATTACATTAGGCTTAGTGCAATAAATTCAGAGATAAAAACTGTCTTGTGAATTTTACAGCTAAATAAGAGATATTTTCCTTATTCTGAATGTTGGTGATAATTTTTATTCTATTTTGATACAAGTAGCCGATCTGCCTTTTATGGTTGTCCCTCTTTCCTTTTGGGACACATCTTCGTCAGTCCACATTCCGCAAGAGAGCTGCCAATTACGCGGGAATCGCTGAAACTTTTTTTTACCAACAACCGACCGTTATTCGATGACTTCGACAATCGTTAAGAACCTGTCCCTTTGCCCATATAAGTGGGATCATGTTCCGATTTTCTAGCCTCATCGCATTACCACTTTTTTTCTACTTACTTTACGTATGTATGACATATTGGTGTCAATGCAACAATAAAATTGTACATGCATTTATTCATAAGGCCCCTCTTCGGAGGAGCACGATCTCTTGTTTGTTTTTAAGTTGTTGAGTGTTTTCAGTCAGATATTTGCGAACATATTTCGAGTGATTTTATGAGCGTTCGACAATTTTCAACGACCGAGACCTAAACTAAATTAAACACAGTGCAGATAAAAATATGTATATATTTGTCTGCGATACACGGATCTTAAGAATTTTGCCGACCATGACAATTGATGACTGTCCTCGGTTACACGGAGTTTACCGATAACCGACCTCTTTACCAATATTTGGACATCTTAAATCTTTTGCCGAAACAAATGGATCTGTTGGGTGCGAATCGATTTACGTGTAAGAAATTGAAAAGATCAATTAATTTGGCGCAGTTTACCGGTCAACTATATTCTCGATGGTAAAACATAATCGGATCCAAGGTTGTTCACGGATTAACTCAATACCAATAGAAGCTAAGATCGGAAAGTGAAACCAAATCAGTAACTAATTAGTTTCGAGTTCGACTTATAAACTGAATGGGTCAGTGAGACTCCATTCAACTATTCGGATCACTTTTTTGGTGACTTGACACGATTAATTAGTCATTGTTCCAACGTGCACATTGTTAGCTCGCTCGTTGCCCTAATAACATCGATCAGATCCTCGTTCAACAATCTTCCTGGCATTGTTACACCTTTTCTATTCCGTCAATATTGATTTACGCAGAACAAAGGCCGCATAAGATTAATGATCATCGGTAACGAACAAAAATGAATTATCTGGTTAGTAATTACGGTTACAAAACATAAGCCAAGGTTACGAAAACTGAGGACCTACATACACAAATGTAACGTAAACTGTTCACGGGAACTAATAATAAATACGTAACAATGAGTTGCTCCGCTTTTGATGTGAGCAAACACGTCAGAACTGCGGCCAGTAGGTACTCGTAAAACTAATTCAGTGCTTGTAACTAGCAACAAACAAAACGCCGCTGCATAACGACAGATCGAAATAAAAGAAATACACCGCACGATTTGACTCGCAGATTCATGTTCTACGCTTTGAAAATATTTGCTGGACCAAATAATGTCGCCAAATGATGCTTTCACTGTCGTAAAAAATGTCACCGGCGCCTACTAAACATAGCACCGGGTCGCGACCGAAGTCGTGATACCATTTCGCTAACAAAATGCACGTTAAAGTAGACCGAGCCTTGGCGCCCGTGTCCTGGCGGAAGGCCAACTGAGCAATTGAATGAGTGACGATTAGCAAACAAAAAATAACAGGGGTAGACGAACACACGGACCGATCTATTTCGGGGAGGTCGAATCTTCTGAAGTACCTGAGTCAGAAGCAGTTCTGGCACTTGAAGACCGCGCTCATTGAGCTAGAGGAAATGCGTGTCTGTTTACGATAGTGCCGGTACTTGGGTGAAATATTTTAGGCTAGCGTTTGTAAGCGAGGTGGAGTGATAGAGTTAAGGAGGTCCTTTTAGTATGTCAGACGTGACCGGGCTGGCAAAGGCTTCTTTGTAGCGGCACGTCCGCGGCGCGCTGTCTGACTGGACACTTATCGACGTCGGCTATCGATTGGACAACGACGATCGAATTCATTCTTTGACTCCGGACTACTTTAAGATGAAATGACTACAAATATTGTACTGACGCTACCAATAACAATGTTAATTTATTGTCACTCATTTAGTTAACTGCATTCCAGGACGATCATTTGCATTACGCGACTGTCATAAATATTTCGAAAATATTTTGGCGCATTACCAAGCATTACGTTAGCAATCATAAATTACCGTCATTCTATGCTCCAGCAAATACCACGTCAGTAGATAAGGGAATACTCCATAATTATGTCCTTGGCAAAGTACAAGATAACGACAATGATAATGAAATATAAAACTTGACAGATATAATTTTTGCTGTGGAAAATTTCATCGCAATAAATTTGCAAAAGTAATTTCTAGAAAAAAGTCTGGTGAATTTTTAATTCTCTTAGAATGCCTGTAAAATATTTCTTACGTTCGTTTTATTAATGTTAGCTTGTTGGTCGTTGGTGATAATAATACTGTTCAGCTGTTGTACAGCTTGCGTGTGTGTGCGCACACTGTGCTGAATGAGGACTGATGTCGATGACAAACAAAACAATTCATTGCGGACCGCACATCTGGTAATTACTTTTTGCTTTTAAACAATAGACACGAGCAAGCTGGGGTCAATGTGGACAAAAATATGTTTGGGCACACTAATTTCATAAACAAGTCATGCCACTACTATAACATCAACTGGTAAAATACTCTAGCTATTACCGAAACGAAAACAAGTGCCACGAATAAATTCTGATAAAGAAGTCCAATTGTAAACATTATTGGTTGGTATTATTCAGTCGCGACAGCCGTTATAGATAAGCTGGTATTGTCCCGATAACGTTAATTATACGACCACGATCGTGAAATACCTAAACATATTTGCAAATTGAAAATTTCCCTCACCTTAGCACCGGAGATGCTGGCGTTCATCCAACTTTCGGTGCTGACGCCTTGGCTGTCGCCGAATTTCGTATTCGGAAACTTCAAAACATGCAACGAGTTTGTAAAACTCTAAGAAACGTCGATAACACCAAACGCACAGTACAGAACTTGGCACTAACTAAGCACGTCTGAACGAACACAAATTTAAACGTCGTGTTTCAAAAACACCAGTAAGTTGAACCAAAAATGGTCTTTCACATCACGTCAAATATTTGCGTGGTCACAGGTGCACACTGTGTAAATAAATGCAGCGCTCGGTGCCGGCGACACGTGCGCTTTCGATGGCGAACCGCGAATAACAGTGTAGAACGCGAGCGGAACGTGACGCCCCTCTACCACGACCGCCGTACGCACGGCGCACAGCGACACTGACGCAGGCCGGCGGCTCGGCTCGATTCCACGCCGCATCTCAACCCCTCGGGCCTACACCCTGCTTACTTTGCCAATATTTTTTTACCCGGACAAAAACTTCACATTGCATCGCGCATCAGACCACTGTGCGAGTTATGGCATTCGACCGCTTTTTCTGCAAACGACGTAATTATGCAGACCTTTTACGGAACCCAGAATTATTGTACACGAGTAAATAGTAAGTTGAGGATTCTCGTGAGAATACCAAGCATAGATTAACTTGAAGACATTTTTTGTCGACGACGAGGTGATCCATAAAGTAATTCTGCATATTTCGCATTTACTGCAAGTCTGCAAATATAAGCAGTTATTGTTTGTATGGCATGAATGCTGCGGATTCTTGAGATTGTTTGGCTTTCTAGAGAACACGCGTTGTCAAGTTAACACTATAAACACCGAAATAGAACTGTCTTTTGGAGTACGAAAGTGTGTCACATCCTGAAGCCGAGTTAATGTGAAGATAATGACGGGCATCGATAGTGCCGCTAGGCGCTAGGATCACGTAGAGGCAACGGTACCGTGTCTGTGCGACTGTATGCACCGGGGCTTATTTAAATAATCGTCGCATTGACGACTGAGGGCTCCAGGGACGATTTGTGGTGAGATAACGACGTCCACAGTGGTTATTATGTGTCGTTGTGGTGCTTAGAAGATAATACGTCTTCGCACAAATACTGGGTTTGTTGACAGATCGTGGCCTAATTATCTAATGAAAGCCATCATTCTGCGAGTGTTTATTGCGGCGGCCGGTCACTTATCGACATCATTCTAGCTACATTTACTAACCCCAAACTTACATTGCCACAGAAACGAGAACGTGCGGTTTCTGCAAAAGCTGATCAGATCATGTTGCCAACAAGGCATGAGCTATCACATATTTCATCAATATGACTTCCTCTTCCACTTGTACGTTTGCAATAATTAATACCATATACAAGATAAGAATGTTCAATTGGCTGAAACGATTGAAATTAGCGATAGCAATCCATGCAGATGGAAGAAAGCTGATACGATTATAGAGGAATCTAGAAGACCCGGTCAGTGGATTGTCGTTATTAATCATGTGTAAGACGATAAAATAATGATGGTACGTTGCTAATTGATGTGGTTCTGGTTTGAGAACTATTTCACATGGTCGGTTGTCACGACATGACCAATGGAGGGAATCCGAGCGACGTGGAGTATTCCGTCTCGTTACAGTTTCCCGACTTTCTGTGTGATCTTGTTAAATTACAAGTAGAGCCGCGAGTATCAATCTGTCGGCCGCACCATAAGGGGCATATTGAAAAGAGTAAAAACAAATAAATGAAATGTCTGAATTTATTTCCAGTATAAGCAGCCTGTTTGCTTCGAAAGTAAAGAGTGTGAAAGACATAATGTAATTATTTCTTAAAGACAGTTTTGCTTGTAACTTGGAGGCCTGCCTACCCATTAAGACTATTTATGTTTTCCTTGATTATCCAAGTTGCAGTTTATATCTGTCACAGCGTATTACAATGACAATACGTTTTCATTTAGAAAACAATACCACGGAGGTAATGAGGTGGTAGGTAAAGTTGCAAGATTTACGCGGATTTTTGTTTCGATCTTGTGATATTTCCTTAACTTTCTCTTGCCCCATTGTAGTATCGGAGGTGTTGGCTGCGATTTATCGTCGACCATCGTCCGACAACGACACGACACGGGAATCGAACCCTGCGACTAACAAAGGCATAAACAAGTTTCTCTTCGCCCAGGCTTACGGACTGTTACTGTTATTTAATACGTGTTTCATTGCTGTAGCGCAAAAAATATGTGGATTTACCATTTGCATGGTAAGTAAAAGGCGGCAACCGATGCAGACATTTTTATATCGTAATTGTTTTCTTAATCGATTGCTTTAAAACCTTTAAGAGCAAGGAACAATTGTCCAAACTTATTATTAGCATTTTTCAGCCTATTGCAATTGAGAATATTTGACATGACGATAAAATCAGGGTCGAATCAGTATTTCAGTATATCTTGATCTAAGTTCGATTAAGGATATCAATCAGACTACTAACTTTTTCATAGGTCATTAGTCTACAGGCAGAAGTCCTTTAAGAAAACCGTGATACAGTTCAAAATCAAGACCAACACTTCTAAACATTGCATTATGGTGACATGTTATCTAACTACATTTAGCTATTTATGTAGTTCGGCGGTCATACTGCATGGCTTTCGTGTGGAGATTTTACAATGAGAAAGTGACAGTGTAAATTTAAGTTATATTCCACTATAAACATAGCAGAGGTGGTTTACAGTGACGTTAATAGGGCTCCAAGTGTGAAAGCAATATCGTCAGAAGCCCACGAAGTCGCCATTTTATTTGTTCACTTTCGGACAGTTGACAGTGGTCGGGGCAATTTGTTTGAGGCTGATACAAGTTACTGTGAAAATGGATGAGATAAGATTGGCTGCATTGAATGAAACAGTTTATTTAAAATAAAGATTTCTTTTAAATGTTGGACATTAATATAATCTGTGGTTGTTAGTTTTCACACAATGATGTCTATTGTAAACATGTAAACGTGCTGTGTAAGTAATAGCTAGGAGAAGAACAAGAAGAAAAAGACATAGGTGCAAACAAACTTTTACGGATTATGTACAAAAAAGTTGATCATGCATTGAGGTTCGCCACAAAAACATAGTAGTCTTAAAGTAGGTACAAGTAGAAGTTGAAAGGGATTCTCAAATTACCATATCATATGAAACAGCATCCAAACAGAAACCAAAACTATCACGTGCATTGATACAATCAATTAAGTCTGGTGCAGGCTGCAGGTAGTCAACGCCGGAACATTTCCAGTTCGTTAATTGATATTTACATTGCATGTTGCGTTGTGGGAACCACGGAAGCTGTTTGTTACATCAGTGACCTTATAGATAGATGATTCGTCGGCGGGATTCTTGTGTGTTATGATTTGTAGTACGATGGTGATGTAAGTTTAGACTAGTTGTAGCAAAACCTTTTTGATGAATCGTTGGGTTCTATTTTACAGGGTATGTTAACTTTTTCCCTCTCAATTAATATGCCTCCAGCATTCAAAAATGTTCATGGTATTTTAAGTTCGCTCAGTTTGCTAATCTATGTCTTTTAAGCTACCTTATTGATTTGTATAGTGTTTTCTATGTCAACCATTCATCAGATCACTTCTACAATGTTTGTTTCAAGTGCTTTTTCTGAGGTATAAAGTCAAATCACTTTGCTTGCCCTGGGTTGGGAGTTTTAGTCTTATCAGTAAGTCTGACTACAGACTACTCGACTCCTGCTCCAGGCTAGGGCCGCTATACATTATTACGCATGTAATGCAACCTCGCCTTATCAGCCCTGGTAAGCCACATCTGTGTTCGGTGTGGTGGAATATTAGCTCTTTGAAACGCGGGCGGAAAGCTACGTACGCTGAGGTCTGTTTTTGATCGGGCGGTAAGCTACCCTTACCAGCCGAACGCGAACCCGCTGTCTTAAGTACTTATTTGGGTATTATTACCTGAGACATAAAGGGTTTCATTTTCTTTAGCAATAGCTCATCTATAACTCTGCCTATTGTCTATTTCTATGCAAACTTAATTGCAGGTACTTTCCATAGGTAATAGTCAAGGGTTCTAGTAACTTCAATGACAAATTAATATTTTAACTATTGAAATAATTGTTAAAGCAAATTAAATGAAACGGAACTGGAAGTGGCATAGTGTATAAAGTGCTCAATGCAACGTGATCCCCAATTAAACGGTGCCTATCTTTATATCGGCTGGCCGGTGTTAAATCTGTGCCGTGGCTCACGACCGAACCGACTCACGATCCTACCACGTTGATATTTTTTGCATTCAGGAAATATCAATGGAGATTTAGTATTGGTTTTTAAAGTTTTATATGGTATAGGCGTTAATAAATGATTCGATCCATATTAATCTTTTGTTTCTCTTGTAATTGGTATTGATGAGGAACTGATTTTGAAGGTCTTTTTTTTAAAACCACCTCGTTCCTTCTTCTGCTCCAGGCCGAGGCCGCGATACATTAATGCGCTTGCCCCCCAACAAGGCATTCGGTATTCGGAAATTTTATACAGGCAAATTATGCTTCGTCAGTTGAAAAGGTCACTAAAATTTTAGAATGAATAAAAAAAAGGATTTATAACACGCCTCTTTTCTTTGGGCAGTAGTCGTGTAAAACAGTGTCTGAATCTATAAACAGATCCAATGTCATTTTGTATGTGACATATAATTTAGGAATTAAATAGATAATAGTAATTTATTACCTAACTTCACTTCACTTACGACTCGTCCCTCGGTATAACAAAATTGTTATGAATTTCCCAAATTAAATAACAAGAAACCAGTTGATTAAATAATTTTATTCAACGCTTTATACTTGATTGGTCAATGTTTTCCATTTGCTAAGCTGTCAATAAACGTATCGCTTCTGCGTGCAACGGAACGTAAATAGTTACACTTGATTTTTTTGTCCGTTGTTTTCAAATTACTGAACTTATATAATATAAATATTATTTGTTTATGTTTATTTTTTGTTCATAATTTAAAACCACTTTAAATAGTTGAATTATTTCCATTTAATTTATTTTGATCTATTTATGAATTGAGAATAGGTTTGTTTGTTCAGGTGTTTTCTCGAGAACCGCTGTTCATAATTTGATGCGATAATATTTTTTTACGTTACTATTACGTTGTAGGATTTTCTTGCTTTTACCTACTTCAAAACACATTATAGCTAAGAATAACTTTCAACAATTTTAACTAGTAGACAATGTCAGGATAAACTGTTAGTCCCAACTTACAACCCATTTAAAATTCATACAGCATATTTACTATAAATGTTTTCGTGCAAAAAACATTGCAAATATTATAATGTTCAACTTGTACTGTGTGAGAAGTTTAGACATGTTACTACTGATGTCCTTGGATTCTGTT